TGACCTGCACGCCCCGTGGCCAGGCCCCCGCCCTGTGGCCAGGCCCGTGTCTGTGGCCAGGCCGGTGCCCCGTGGTCAGTCCCCACCTGCCCTGTGGCCAGGCCTGTGCCCTGTGGTCAGCCCCCCTGCCCTTTAGCTAGGCCCGTGTCCGTGGCCAGCCCCCCGCCCCTTGGCCAGGCCCATGTTCGTGGCAGGCCCGTGTTCGTGGCCAGGCCCATGCCCCGTGGCCAGGCCCCCACCCCATGGCCATGCCCGTGTCCGTGGCCAGGCCCGTGCACCGTGGTCAGGCCCGCGCTGGCCTCGGGCCCTCTGGGAGCCCCAGTGGCCCCACAGCCGTAGCCGCGGGAAGAGCACAGGCGACAGGAGCCCGGGGCTCCCGCCTCCCGCCCACGGGCTGGAGCGCTGGCTGCGGTCCAGCTGCCGGATCTCATGATCTCTCCGTGGGCCGCGGCGTTTAAAATAAGCAAGGTGCCGTTACCACAGACATTCCATCGCGGGAGGTGACGGGCGGGGGGCGGGGGGTGGGGGGGCGCTGGCAGCCAGGGCTGGAGCGGCTCCAGGATCTCCCGTCCTCCACCCCAGACACCGGGCTGGCCGCACGGAGGCCTGAGCCCGGTCAGCCTGCCCTCTGGGGACGGGGCGGCTCAGTGACCCCTCGGCCGGGTTCCCCAGATGCCGCCTCCATCGGCCTTCTCACTGCTCACCTGCAGAGCGGCCCCTCGGGGTCCAGACTCAGGCAGAGGGGGCAGGGGGCCGACTCCGGCTTCCTACACGCGCGTGTGGGGACCACGGAGCCTGACGGGGGTGACGGGGAGGAATTCCGAGGCTCTGGGGGAGGTGAGGGCAGGATCAGGGGGAGAGATGATGGGGACGTGGTCCAGCCCGTGTTGTAGTGAGAGCGGGGCCCAGGGAGTGGACGAGCCGGCCTCCATGTCCAGCCGGCCGTGGGGGCCGTGCTGACCCCGCCTGAGCTGCAGGTGGGGCTGCAGTGCATGGGCCCTCTCGGGCCCTCGTACAGCCTGGCTTCGCTGCTGCAGTGCCCCCTGGGCATCATGGCCCGGTGTGACCTCAGGCAGCGGGTCCCCCTTCGGGAACGGGGCTTTTGAAGAGTCTCGGAGAGAGGCCTGGGGGGACCCCCCCGCCCCCCCCCGCCCCCCCCCGCCCCGACCTCCGCTGACCCTGAGCGCGGGGGCCACCCACATGCGGCTCCCGAGCCCTCGGAGCCGAGGCCGTGATGAGCTTTCCAGCTCCGAGTGAGCCGGCTCCTCAGAGCCCGTCCCTGGTCCCTGCTCGGCGGCTGGGAAAGCCATCGGCCGCTCTGGGGTCTCCTGACCGCCCGGCCGGCCAAGGAGGCCGCGTGAGGGCGGACGGCTGCCCAGGAGGGTGGCCCTTCCTCCCGTCTGCTGCCGGCGGCGTGTGTGTGTGTGTGTGTGTGTGTATGCGTGTACTATGTGTGCATGTGTCTCTGTGTGTATGTACTGTGTGTGTCTATGTGTGTGTGGTGTGGTGTGTGTGTGTGTCTTTGTGTGTGTGGTGTGTGTGTGTGTGTGTGTCTGTGTGTGTGTGTGAGTGTGTTTGTGTGTGAGTGTGTGTGTGTGTGTGTGTGTCTCTGTGTGTGTGGTGTGGTGTGTGTGTGTGTGTCTGTGTGTGTGTGTGAGTGTGTTTGTGTGTGAGTGTGTGTGTGTGTCTCTGTGTGTCTCTGTGTGTGTGGTGTGGTGTGTGTGTGTGTGTCTCTGTGTGTGTGGTGTGGTGTGTGTGTGTGTGTCTCTGTGTGTGTGTGTGTGTGTGTGTGTGAGTGTGTGTGTGTGTCTCTGTGTGTGTGGTGTGGTGTGTGTGTGTGTGTGTGTCTGTGTGTGTGAGTGTGTGTGTGAGTGTGTGTGTGTCTCTGTGTGTGTGTGTGGTGTGGTGTGTGTGTGTGTCTCTGTGTGTGTGTGTGAGTGTGTTTGTGTGTGAGTGTGTGTGTGTCTCTGTGTGTCTCTGTGTGTGTGGTGTGGTGTGTGTGTGTGTGTCTCTGTGTGTGTGTGAGTGTGTGTGTGTGTGAGTGTGTGTGTGTGTCTCTGTGTGTGTGTGTGTTTGAGTGTGTGCAGGAGGCTGGCCCAGGTTGCTCTCCGTGTTTGATGGGTGGACACCCTGTTTGGTGGTCACCGTTGAGCCGGACACTGTGAGGGAACCCTGTCTCGTGTCTGCACAACTGTCAGCCTGTGTTTGTCCCACCCGCTCGGTTAAACTGCTGCTTTGGTGAAAATGCTCAGAGGAACGTATAAGCCTGGGCCCACGGCACAGGCTGTCTGTGCTGGTTCCTTAAAGTGTTTTTACTCCATTGAGGTCCCAGAGGAAGGGAGGGGAGCGAGAGGGCGCTGCACCAGCGGGGCCTCCGGGCAGGGCACGAGGGGCTGGCCTCCTCCTTTCCTGACCGGACGACCTTCCCTCAAGGGAGACGGCCCCCGTGCGGTGCGGCGCCGGCCGGGCTGCGGTCTCACTCGCTGTGTCTTCTTTCCAGCGACATATTCGACGCCATGTTCCCCGTCACGCACATCGCCGGCGAGACGGTCATCCAGCAAGGTAGGCTCCGCCCATGATCCTTATTGTTCGGCTTATTTTAAAACACGTGCTTACTGGTTTCAGAGAGGGAGAGGGAAACATCGAGGATGGGAGGGGATCACGGGTCGGCTGCCTCCTGCTTGCCCCACGCTGGCCCGGAGCCCGCACCCGGGCCTGTGCCCTGCCGGGGAACGGCTCCCGAGGGTCATCGATGCAAAGTCTGTGTGTCTTCGAGGACAGTCACCGACGGAACAGCAATTCCCCGAACGGTGACCTTACTGTCGAGTCCGGGACCTGAGCCCTGGGGCCACGCCGGCTGGGGGGTCGGTGAGGGCCCCTCAGGCCCTGGGGACGGGGCGGGGAGGTGTCGGCTGGCCGATGGAGGGAGTTCTAGGGAGCATGCACAGCGATTCGCCGTGTGGCACCCTGACACACAGAACACTCTTATTTAAATGCTTTTTCGTTAATCCTCCCCCGAGGGTGTTCCCATCGACTTTGAGAGAGTGGAAGGGAGAAGGGACGAAGAGAGAAACATCAATGTGAGGAGAGAATCAGCCGATAGGCTGCCTCCTGCATGAGCCCTGACCAGGGCCTGGCCGGGGAGGAGCCTGCAACCGAGGAATCGAACCCGGGACTGACACTCTCTCCATTGAGCCACACTGGCCAGGGCTATTTAAATACGTCTCAAAAGGAGACGAGACCCGGACACCCCGGCCGGTGTAGGCGGCAGCGCACAGAGAAGCTACGAGACGAACAGGCCCAGCTGTGTGCTCGGCGTGAAACACTGTGTCTCCTGTTTCAGGGGACGAAGGCGATAACTTCTACGTCATTGACCAGGGGGAAGTGGATGTAAGTACCTCCGGGCGGATCGGGGAATGCGCCTCGGGCCGCGTCCCGTTTGGTGTGGCGCCGGTCACCGGTGCTGAGGCCGGGAAGGCCTGCCTGTGCGGTAGACGTTCGTCCGAAAGGAGCCGTTGCGTTTAACGGCTGGTGGGACGCGTGGAGGCGCCGTCTGGCACAGGCGCCTGCTGGCGGCTCCCGTGGGCAGCGCGTCCGCAGCCCGTCGGTGGCCGCGAGGTTGGGTGCGATGGGTGTTATGGCGCCGTCTGTCTCCCAGAATGTGTTTCTCCTGCTTTTTACTGTTGATTTGCTCCCACCTGTCTCGGGGGTTGGACCCACACTTACACAGCGGCTAGCCTTCGATCATGGTTGGGCCGGCCCCTGCCCCATGGCTCTGGGCGTCCCACACTCGCCACACCCACAGTGCGCCCGGCAACAGCCCTCCAACGGGACCCCCGGCGTGGCCTCTCGGCTCCTGCCACCCCTCGCCCGGGGCCTGTGCTGGGACCCCACCCTCAACGGCCCGTCAGCTCCCGCTTCCCTCACACACCACCTGGTGTCCACACTGCAGGCGCCCCTCGGCGTGGCCTCCACGGTCCCCGCCGCCCTGTGTGGGAGGTTCCTGGTGTGCCCTTCGGCGTGACCACGTGGGCTCGGATGCCCGGCAGTTCGGGGTCCGTGACCAGGTGCACATTCAGGGTGTGTTTGCCAGGCCCTGCAGCCGCCGCGTCCCAGGCTGGTCCCCCAGACCTCAGACACCAGCCCTGGGGACGGGACACCTCATGGCCTCCGCCCACCCCCTCCTTCGCAGACCGCAGTCCCCGAGGTGGCCCTGCTGCCCGGGGATGCCGCCGGCCGGGGCTCGGCCTCCGGCTCAGCCGCGCTATTCTGGGGGACGGGACTCATTATCTCCCCGGAGCCCGTCTGTGTCCGCGCGGCCCGTTCTGGGAACCGGGCAGCGGCCCTCGCTTCCGGAGGAGGTGGCAGAGGAAATGAGTCACCGTGGAGATCTCGGCGAGGTCACGCGTGTGGTCTGAGGGCCGAGGCGGGAGCCGGGATCTCTGCCTGCCGTGTGCAGGCCCCGGGCCGGGCCGGCCTTCCCGTCTGGGTGGGGGTGGCTTCTCTCTCCCCCCGAAGAGGGACACCGAGGCAGGAGCCGAGGGCCCGGAGGAAGCTGGAGGCGGGAGGCCCGGCTGCCAGCCCACAGAGCCCACTCCCGCTGGCTTCTGGGTTAAAAAAAACTCCAGCCCAGGAAACGGGGAAGACAGGCGCGGGTGCGGCCGGGCCCGGCTGGGCAGCGTCCTTGGGGTGGACGCTGGACGGTCTGCCTCAGAGCCGCCGGGCAGGGGCGGGTGGGCCCTGGGGGTGTTTGGGCTCCTTCCTGGTTCAGATCCGGCTCCCCCTCCGCCCTCGCCATCCCCGGAGTTCTCTGCCATTTCTTTCTTTATTATTATTATTATTTTTTAAAATATATTTTATTGTTTTTTTACAGAGAGGAAGGGAGAGAGGTAGAGAGTTAGAAACATTGATGAGAGAGAAACATCGACCAGCTGCCTCCTGCACACCCCCCACTGGGGATGTGCCCGCAACCAAGGCATATGCCCTTGACCTTTCAGTCCGCAGGCCGACGCTCCATCCACTGAGCCAACCCGGTTTCGGCTTTTTCTTTAAAAAAAGAAAGAAATTATTTTCATTGATTTCAGAGGGGAAGGGAGAGGGAGAGAGAGAAACATCCATGATGAGAGAATCATCCATCGGCTGCCTCCTGCATGCTCCACACTGGGGATCGAGCCTGCAACCCTGCACCTGTGCCCTGATCGGGAATCGAACCCTGACCTCCTGGTTCGTAGGTCAATGCTCAACCACAGAGCCATGCTGGCCGGGCTGTTTCTTTCGGGGAGCCTGAGGGCCCAGCGTCGGGGTCTCCGGAGCTGTTCCCGGTCCTGGGGCAGACGGCGGGTCAGGTACCCCGAGCGGGGGCCCGAGGCTCAAGCCTGTTACCTCTGCTGGCACCCAAGCCTCCGTGTCCCGTTAGTTCACCCGGAGAATCGGCCGAATGAGGCCATGCCTGGCGCGGGGCATGGGGCTGGGTGGGCTGGACTGTCTGGTCTTCTGGCCACCCCTGCCCCCGTCCTGCTCGGTGGACCCCACACCTGTCTGTGGAGCAGAGGGGGACCCCGAATCTGCACGGGTGCCCCTGCTGCCCAAAGCCCCCCGAGGACCCAGCCTGGCACCCTGAGCACCCCTCCTGCGGGCGGGCGCTGCCCTCTGACTGGCGGTGCCTGAGGGGTCGGCCAGGTGACCAAACGCCACAAACACCAGGTTTGGCTGGAACCGTGGTTTTCCGGAGACGGTGGAAGTGCCTGCCTCGGCCTGTGTGTGGCCAGAGCTATAATCCGCCTTCTAAGTATAAAATCACCTTCCGACCGGTTTTATTCCTGGAACGCGGTGTCGCACCCACAAGGGCCCCGGCCCTGGCCCCGTGGGCTCGGAATGCCAGTTCCTCCCGGTCTCTGTGTGGGGCTCATGTGCCCCCTCCCCCCTCCCCTGCCCCGTCCCCCCAGATCCCTCCCCCCACATCCCCCCAGGTTCCCTTGGCTTCACCGAGGGCTGGAGGGAGAGCCTTCGGCCTCGGGGTGGGCGAGCCTCCGCAGTGCTGCGGGACCGGCGCCGGACATGGCGTCTGCTCTCGGGTCACAGCGTCTGCTCGTGTCCCTCGGCGTTGGCCTGAGCCGTTCTGTGTTCTCGTGAGTGAGCGTGAATCTGCTGTGTTGAGGATTTAAAAAACGTATTTTATTGGTTTCAGAGAGGAAGGGAGAGGGAGAGAGAAACACTCATGAGGAGAGAGAATCATTGATCAGCCCCCTCCTGCTCGCCCCCCTGGGGATGAAGCTGCACCCCGGGCCTGTGCCCTGACCGGGAATCGAACCCTGGCCTCCCGGTTCCTAGGTCGATGCTCCACCCCTGAGCCCCGCCAGCCAGGCTGCGTTGATTTTAGGTGCACAGTTCAGGGCCATGGAGGGGTCTGGGTTACCGTGGCAGAAGCAGTGTCAATGGGTCCCCGGGGAGCAGGTGGCGTGGCTGGGGCCTCAGGGGACGCGGGGAAGGCGACCTCCTGGACCAGGTACCCCCGCACCTGACGGACTCCCCCCCCTCCTGGTGCCGGGAGCCTGGGAGGCGGGGGAGGCAGCCAGGAGCCTTTGTCAGCACTGAGAAGGCACTCGCAGGCCCGCTGCCCGCGGGCGACCTTCACCCCGGCGTGGCGACGGCAGGAGCGGGGGTGCCCGGGTCTGCTAGGCCATGTGGCAGCTCAGGTGACTGGCGTCTCGTGCCCAGTCCCCAGACGTCTGTCCAGCTGGTTTCCTTTCTGTGGGGCCGGCTGGGGGCAGGCGATGGAGCGAGACAGCGGGGCCTCCCCACTCCTGGCCCAGCTTCTGGCACTTTCCCCAGTTCTCATTGCCCAGCTACCTGTCCAGCTGGGCACAACCAGGCGGACAATGCCAGGCGGACAATACCAGGTGGGCACGGCCAGGTGGGCACGGCCAGGTGGGCATGGCCAGGTGGACAATGCCAGGTGGGCACAGCCTGGTGGACAATGCCAGGTGGGCACGGCCAGGTGGGCATGGCCAGGTGGGCATGACCAGGTGGCATGGCAGGCACGGTCTGGTGGGCACAGCCAGGTGGGCACGGGCAGGTGGGTACAGCAAGCACTGACTGGGCACGGCCAGGTGAGTGATGCCCTCAGCCTGTGCTGACGGACCCGGCACTGCCCATGGCGGCCTCGGGGGTTCACAGAGGAGGTGTGTGCCTTCCCTCAGCATTGTCTTCGCCTCCAGCCCCTGAGGTGTCCGACCTGAGCCTCCGTCAGCACCGCCTGCTCCAGACCGGCCGCTGTGCCCTGTCCCTGCATCCGCCGTCCACAGGTGCCACTGGTCCGGGCGGCTCTTAGTGACTTGATCGGGGCCTGCTCCTCGCTGCCCCTGCAGGCTGCCGAGGGCTCTGCACCCAGCACCAAGCCCAGATGCCAAGCTCTCCCGCCCTGGGCCTCTCCCCACGTGCTACGGCTGCATCAGGCCCGTGTCCTGGCCTCTGCTCGGACCCTCTCTCCACGGTCTGAGCGTGACCTGTGATGAGTGTGTGTGTGTGTGTGTGTGTGTGTGTGTGTGTGTGTGTGTGGGTGCCCTCAGCCCGGCTCTGGCCTCACCGCCTCCTGCTGGCCCAAGCGCGCGGGCTCGGGGGCCTCAGCAGCTCGGCTGCCGCGTGCCGCGTGCCGCGTGGACAGTGAACGGACGGAAGGACCGGACGGCTGGGTGGGAGCTCCGGGTCCGACCAGAGAAGCCACGGTCGTGGTGATTGCGTCCGTGTGGCCCGGGGCCTCCCACCACGTTCTTTTAAGAGAAGAAAACAAGGACAGAACGAAACAAAGCGAGAGGCAGCCCGTGCGTGCCAGCTGGGCTGGGCGGCCCCCGGGGACAGAGGCCTCTGTCCCGGAGAGACGGCCTTTGTGCTGGGCCGGGCCGGCCCACAATGCCGGCCTCTGACTCCTCTCGGCCTGCAGCCTGGGCGCTGGGGTCCACCGGGCCCGTCCCTGTCCCGTGGGAAAGTTGGGGTGCAGCCATCAGGGCGGCTCTGCTGCCACACCCCTGCCCCTGGTCCCTGTGCTGTGACCCAGAGCGACGGGACGTCCGGCGTGTGGTCACAGCCCAAACCGGAACTGCCGTCCCCTGGCTGTCCCCGCGCGTGGCCCGCCCACCGACACGGAGGCAGCGGGGACTCGCTGCTCCACCCCTTCCCGCTCGTGGGTCCTCGCGGACTGTCCCTGGCAGGGGCCCGGGAGACCCCGCACCGCGGCCTGAGCGGTGGAAAGAGGAGCTGCTCACCGGGTTCATGGGCGTTGATGTTTGTGGGTGCAGCTCCGCGGTCGGGGTTCCAGAAGAGCAGGGTCGGGAAGACCAGCTGAGGGCCGAGGGGACAGCGCCGGGCTGTGTGCCCCCCGCTCCGGGCTCTTGGAAAGGACCGGACAGGCCTGTCCACACTGCCTCCGGGAGGACGGGTGGTGTGTGCGGCTCCCTCGGGCCTGGCCTGGGGGCCGGCGTTTCTCCTTCCCGTGACCCGGCTCCCGCTGGGCAGAGGGCACGTGGGGCTGAGGTGGCCAGCAGCGGGCCGGGTCCGGGCGGAGGGGAAGGCTCGGGGCAGGCCCTGGGACGGACGGACGCTGACGCCGCAGGAAGCTCTGCCTCGAGCTTCCCTGGAAACTCCCGGCCGGCGGCCCCTGTCCGGCCCCGGGCGGGCGGTCAGCAGCCCCTGTCCGGGCCCCGGGCGGGCGGTCAGCGGCCCCTGTCCCTGTCCGGCCCCGGGCGGGCGGTCAGCGGCCCCTGTCCGGGCCTCGGGCGGGTGGTCGGTGGTCCCTGTCCGGGCCTCGGGCGGGCGGTCAGCGGCCCCTGTCCCTGTCCGGCCCCGGGCGGGTGGTCAGCGGCCCCTGTCCGGGCCTGGGCAGGCAGTCGGCTGTCCCTGTCCCTGTCCGGGCCTCGGGTGGGCGGTCGGCGGCCCCTGTCCCGGCCTCGGGCGGTCAGCAGCCCCTGTCCGGGCCTCGGGCGGGCGGTCAGCGGCCCCTGTCCCTGTCCGGCCCCGGGCGAGCGTTCAGCGGCCCCTGTCTGGGCCTCGGGCGGGCGGTCGGTGGTCCCTGTCCGGGCCTCGGGCAGGCAGTCGGCTGTCCCTGTCCCTGTCCGGGCCTCGGGCGGGCGGTCGGCGGTCCCTGTCCCGGCCTCGGGCGGTCAGCGGTCCCTGTCCCTGTCCCGGCCTCGGGCGGGCGGTCAGCGGTCCCTGTCCCTGTCCCGGCCTCGGGTGGCGGAGGCATCGCCCGCGTCCTCCTCGCTGGCGGCTCTGGCACCACCTCTCCCCGCGATAAGGACACGTTGGTTCCAATGAGAACGGCCTCCATGACTCACTCTCCCCGGCCGCGCCCACTCCCAATGGGGCCATTCTTCGTGCCCATTGACCAGAGGGAGAACAAAGCCGCTCTGCCCGTGGCCGTGGCGCTCTGCCCGTGGCCGTGGCGCTCTGCCCGTGGCCGTGGCGCTCTGTCCGTGGCCGTGGCGCTCTGTCCTTGGCCGTGGTGCTCTATCCGTGTCCGTGGTGCTCTGCCGGCCACAGTCCACGCTGTGCTCGGGGATGCGGGCCGGGTGGGGCACGGGGTCGGGGCACGGCGGGAACGCGGGCAGCCGCACCCGTGCTGACAGGGGATCTGCCTGGCTGGCCATTGACGGGAGGACAGCGGCCGGGAGAACAGCGGGGAGGACAGGGTTGGGGGGATGGGCACCCTGGCCAGGTCTGGGGGGTGGGCAGGGCTGGGGGGCCGGGCAGGGCTGGGGGGTCGGGCAGGGTTGGGGAGCACTGTAGCCGGGCCGGGGAGGAGAGCACGCTTTCCACACAGTCAGGGCCTCCCGTGGCGGCCATGTTGCCCTGACCCCATGCCCCGTGACCTTTCTCGTGCCGCCCAGGTGTACGTGAACGGCGAGTGGGTGACCGGCATCAGCGAGGGCGGCAGCTTCGGGGAGCTGGCGCTCATCTACGGCACCCCCCGGGCAGCCACTGTGAAGGCCAAGACCGACCTCAAGCTCTGGGGTATCGACCGCGACAGCTACCGCCGTACCCTCATGGTGAGTGCCGCGGGCCAGGCCGCCCTGAGCCCATCCTCATGGTGAGCGCCGCGGGCCAGGCCGCCCTGAGCCCATCCTCATGGTGAGCGCCGCGGGCCAGGCCGCCCTGAGCCCGTCCTCATGGTGAGTGCCGCGGGCCAGGCCGCCCTGAGCGCGTCCTCATGGTGAGCGGCACCCAGGCCGCCCTGAGCGCGTCCTCATGGTGAGCGGCACCCAGGCCGCCCTGAGCCCCATCCTCATGGTGAGCGGCACCCAGGCCGCCCTGAGCCCACCCTCATGGTGAGCGCCGCGGGCCAGGCCGCCCTGAGCGCGTCCTCATGGTGAGCGCCGCGGGCCAGGCCGCCCTGAGCGCGTCCTCATGGTGAGCGGCACCCAGGCCGCCCTGAGCCTGGGGGAAGGGGGGTTTGCTGGCTTCCAGCGCCCCGTGGGCGGGCCTGCGAGTTGCATCCTCAGCTATTGCCGCATCCTCACGGTGAATGGCCCAGAGCCCAGGGCGTGGGGGCTCGGCTCAGGGTGGGGGCACCGGGGAGCTCCTCGTTCGTGCCCGTGGGAAGGGATGCCAAGTGCCCACCACGGCTGCCCAGGATGTCTCCTCTGCCTGCCCCCCAGCCCCTTGCCCCCTGCCCCGCTGCCCACTGCTCCCCTGCCCCCCTGCCCCCCTGCTCCCTGCCCCTGCTCCCCAGCCCCCAGCCCCTGCCCCCTGCCCACTGCTCCCCTGCCCCCTGCCCCCCTGCCCACTGTTCCCCTGCCCCCCTGCCCCCTACCCCCTGCCCACTGCTCCCCTGCCCCCCTGCCCACTGCTCCCCTGCCCCCTGCCCCCCTGCCCACTGTTCCCCTGCCCCTCTACCCACTGCTCCCCTGCTTCCTGCCCCCTACCCCCTGCCCACTGCTCCCCTGCCCACTGCTCCCCTGCTTCCTGCCCCCTGTCCCCTGCCCACTGCTCCCCTGCTTCCTGCCCCCTGTCCCCTGCCCACTGCTCCCCTGCTTCCTGCCCCCTGTCCCCTGCCCACTGCTCCCCTGCTTCCTGCCCCCTGTCCCCTGCCCCCCTGCCCACTGCTCCCTCCTCTGCCCTGAGGCTCCTGCCCAGAGGCAGGCTCTGGGAACAGTCCCGTCGCCTGGAGGCACCTGGCCCGGGTGTGCGAGCCCTGCTCCCCGCCAGCTGCTGAGCCCTTGGCTGTGGGTTCTGAGGCTGGAGCTTATATTTAGGGAAGTTCCCAAACCAGAGAGGCAGCTGGCTCTTCCTCTGAGTTAATTCTGGTCCCTGGGCCCTAAGAATAGCCGGGTGGTGCTGCCGGCAGGAAGAGGACCGAGTGTCCCAGGCGTGTCTCGGGGTGTGTCCAGGGCGTGTCCCCAGGCGTGTCTGCAGGACCTGCAGCTTCGGCCTCAGGCCCTCCGGTGGGGATTTGATGTGGAATAGTGGGTCCCAGCGTTGGCCCAGCGCTGAGCTGGGCAGGAGCCGGGACATGCTGCCGCGGGCATGGGAACGGGCACGGGCACGGGCATGGAACTGGGGAGGGACATCGGTGGGGTCGCCCGGGAGGGGCTGCCTCCCAAAACGTTCGCCCGGTTCTGGGTTCCCTAGAGTGTCCCCTGTCCCCCCCGCCCCCCACACTGTTCCCAGCGGGAGGCCCTGCCCAGCCTCACGGGCGCTTGGCCTCCTGGCTCCTGCCGCGCCCAGCATGGCTCTGTTGACCAATGAGTTGGCCGAACTCTGTCCTAGGGTCATAGCTGGTACCTGGACGCCCCGCTCAGAGCGAGCACATGGCCCGGGTCCCAGCCCAGCCTCACCCACGGTCTCACCACAGAGGAAACTTTCTGAAAACTTCCCATCAGCCTTTGGGGCGGTCTCCTTCCCCGAGGGTTCGGGCGCCCTCCACTGTCACTCTGCGAGGGAGACAGACGGCCTTTGCACTGGCGCCCCGGGCCAACGTGCCTGCATTCCACCGGCGGTGGACCTGCCGGTCCCTGTGAGTTACAAATGGTTCAGAGAAATGCCTTTGTCGTGGCCGGCAGGGACCGGGCGACGGGCTGGGCGGCCAGGCTGGTCTCCCTTCCTCAGTGAGAGAGGCCGAGGGCAGGCATCTGTGGCACAGGACAAGCATGTGGGGGTCGGGCGGCCTGTGCCAGCCCCTCGGGGAGAGAAGCCGTGTCCAGCACAGCGTGGACTCTGCGGTATCGGCTGTTTCAGACTTGGCTCCGCCACTTAGCAGCCACGTGGACGAGAGCAGTGGGGACCCCTCCCTGAGCTCACACCTGGAAAGACCTGAGCAGCTGCCTCCTGGGCAGCTGCTGGCCCGGGAGGACCAGATCAGAGACGGACAGAGGAGGTGGTGCCGGATCACCCTCCTGATGGGGAAACTGAGGCCCAGAAAGGCTGGACGGGTCCAGGAGCGAGGGTCATGGGCAGCCTGGGGTTGAAGTAAGAGTGTGCTGACCCTCCGATAGTCCTTCTTTCCTGTA